AAAAAAAAAAAAAAAAAAATTAGCCAGGCCTGGTGGCCCTGCGCCTATTGTCCCAGCTACTTAGGAGGCTGAGGAAGGAGGATTGCTTCAACCTTGGAGGTAGCGGCTACAGTGAGCTATGATCATGACACTGCACTCCAGCCTGTGTGACAGAGTAATACCCTGTCTCAAAAAAAAAAAAAAAAAAAGAAAAGAAAAGAAAGGGAGCAAGAAATAAAGGTTCTAGCCACAGCTGGATTTCCTCCTTAAGCTACAGCCTGGCCCCCACCCTGGGGATGTTGGCATTTCAGGAGAACATGCTTCAGGCTTTGCAAAGCTGACATTGGTGTCTTCCTGTATTCAGTGAGCCCTTCTTTCTGGAAATGGGGGATTGAGGGAAGTGGGGATATTGGGGGAAGGTCGTCTGCCTCGAGGTCTGGTCAGGCCAACGCTAGAACAGGAGAGAGGGCCTGATGTCATCAGAGATTACAAATTTGGGATGAGGGATGGCCAAAGATTTTTTATATCCTATCTCTCAATCTACTCATTTTCACTCAAGAAAATAACGCATCGGCCGGGCGCGGTGGCTCAAGCCTGTAATCCCAGCACTTTGGGAGGCCAAGGCGGGTGGATCACGAGGTCAAGAGATCGAGACCATCCTGTCAACATGGTGAAACCCCGTCTCTACTAAAAATACAAAAAATTAGTTGGGCATGGTGGTGCATGCCTGTAATCCCAGCTACTCAGGAGGCTGAGGCAGGAGAATTGCCTGAACCCAGGAGACGGCGGTTGCGGTGAGCCAAGATCGTGCCATTGCACTCCAGCCTGGGTAACAAGAGCGAAACTCCGTCTCAAAAAAAAAATTATAATAAAAAAAATAACGCACCAACAACAGAATAAAACTAAGGGCATGGAAAAACTGGAATTATATGGTAGATATATATGTATATATATTTTTAGACAGGGTCTGGCTCTGTCTCCCAGGCTGGAGTGCATGGTGCGATCTCAGCTCACTGCAACCTCTGCCTCCTGAGTTCAAGCGAGTCTCCTGTCTCAGCCTCCTGAGTAGCTGGCATTACAGGCACACGGCACCATACCCGGCTAATTTTTGTATTTTTAGTAGAGATGGGGTTTTCCCATGTTGGCCAGTCTGGTCTCGCACTCCTGACCTCATGATCCACCCACCTCGGCCTCTCAAAGTGCTGGGATTACAGGCATGAACCACAGTGCCCAGCCGGCAGCAATATCTTATAAAGGAATCAAAAGAAAAGTAAAGCAAACATTTAAAGTAGTTCAGGTAACCAGCCTGCTTCATGCATAGTTCACAAGGAAAACCTGCTGTCAGAAGGTAAATTATATTCCCAAACTTGGAAGTCAAACCATGACTGCTGAAATGGAGCCTGCCCCACAAGGGCGGATCAGTGCCAGATGATGAGGCAGAGAAAATTAAGGATTTATCTGGGAATTCAAAATGGCCTTCTGTCCCCTTCTCAGTTTAGAAATTATTTTCTCCTTTAAGACCTTCATTTTCACCAACAGGAATCTCTCAACTCGAGTTAGTTTAAGCTAAATTTACTGTTAAATTAATAAACACTTTCTCTAGGAGACATCCCAAATGGATCTTGTTCTAAGTCTGACCTTCACAGATTTTCGTTCTAGTGACTCTTTGCATAATTAGAGAATTCTTGTCCGAGGAAAGTGAGTTCTTTTAATTATCAGGATCCTAGAGACATTAAAATGAGGAAGCAGGCTAGGCGAGGTGGCTTATGCCTGTAATCCTAGCACTTTGGGAGGCCAAGGCGGGCAGATCACGAGGTCAGGAGACCGATACCATCCTGGCCACAAGGTGAAACCGTCTCCACTAAAATGCGAAAAATTATCCTGGCGTGGTGATGTGAGCCTGTGGTCCCAGCTACTCGGGGGGCTGAGGCAGGGGAATTGCTTGAACCTGGGAGGCGAAGGCTGCAGTGAGCTGAGATGGTGCCACTGCACCCCAGCCTGGCGACAGAGCAAGACTGGGTCTCAAAGAAAAAAAAAACAAAAAACAATCCCACCTGAGTCCGGGCCCAGTGGCTCAACGCCTATAATCCCAGTACTTTGGGAGGCCAAGTCAGGTGGATCATGAAGTCAGGAGATCAAGACCATCTTGGCCAACAGAGTGAAGCCCCTACAAAAAATTAGCCAGGTGTGGTGGCATGCTCCTGTAGTCCCAGCTACTCGGGAGGCTGAGACAGGGGAATCACCTGAATTCGGGAGGCAGGGGTTGCAATGAGCCAAGATCACACCACTGCACTCCAGCCTGGTGACAGAGCAAGACTCCATCATAAATAAATAAATACACCTGAAAGTGTTGCTAATTGAAGTGTATATTCAGTGCAACTTGAATCTGTGCTCCAGAGTGTCAATCCTCAAGCCTAGCCCAAATAAACACTCTGCTTACATTAATTTTGCCTTAGGCTCTTCCTCTTAGGTTGACAACGACAAAACCAAAACATTCTGCAGAAAACAGCCACAAGACAACCAGAATTACAACCTCAGAAAGAAGGTTATAACTCGCATGCCCTGCTAAAAATAAATGAACGGTGATCACACCATTGCACTCCAGACTGGGCAATAAAGTGAGACCCTGTCTCAAAAAAAAAAAAAAAAAAATGTCTTCCAGGACTACGATAGCTCGGGTAAGTACGTCATCCACTTTAGTTACTTCTATTCTCCTTATTTTGTCCCCTGCTCATTGATGGAAAACACAATGTTATAACCAGACAATCACCTGCTGTAAATACTGGAATTCTTAGCATAACCCTGAGAAATCCACACTCACAGAGGGCGTGTGGATGTTAAAGATGGCTGGCTCACTAACAGGGAGAGCGTCACCAACTTTTTCTGGAAAATGCCTCAAAGCAGTTAACTGGAAAATTTTTGTTTGTTTTTTCTTTTGTTTGTTTGTTTAAGGCGAGGTCTTCTCTGTCGCTGAGGCTAGAGGACAGTGGTGCCATCTTGGCTTACTGCAGCCTTGACCTTCTGGGCTCAAGCCGTCCTACCGCCTCAGCCTCCAGAATAGCTAGGACTACAGATACAGGCCACTATCCCTGGCTACCTTAAATTTTGTGTAGAGACAGTCTCCCTATATTGCTTAAACTGGTCTGGAACTCCTGGCCTTAAGTGATCCTCCACCTTGCTGTCCCAAAGCGCTGGGATTACAGGCAGGAGCCATTGCGCTTGGCTCCCCTTGGAAGACTTTTATTTATTTATTTATTTATTTTTTAAAGATGGGGTTTCACCATGATGGCCAGGCTGGTCTTGAACTCCTGACCTCAGGTGATCCACCCACCTCAGCCCCCCAAAGTGCTAGGACAGGCGTGAGCCACCGCGCCCGGCTCAGAAGACTTATATGGGAACATACAGTTGATAGAAGTAAAGATTTTTAAAATAATAAAAATGGGGGTCTCCTTGTGTTGACCACGTTGATCTTCAACTCTGTTTTAAGCGATGCTCCAGTCTAGGCCCCCCCGAAATGCTAGGATTACAGGCATGAAACACTGCACCCTGCCTGTGTTTGGGTCACAATCTCTCCGAGATTGGATAAAGGGAAAGAAAGAGCCAGGCACAGTGGCTCACACCTGTAATCCCAGCACTTTGGGAGGCCAGGGTGGGCCGATCACCTGAGGTCGAGAGTTTGAGACCAGCCTGACCAACATGGAGATACCCCGTCTCTACTAAAAATACCAAATTAGCCAGGCCTGGTGGAACATGCCTGTAATCCCAGCTACTCAGGAGGCTGAGGCAGGAGAATCACTGGAACCTGGGAGGTGGAGGTTGCAGTGGGCCGAGATTGTGCCACTGCACTCCAGCTGGGCCACAAGAGCAAAACTCTGTCTCAAGAAAAAAAAAAGGCGGGGGGAAGGGAGGAATAAAGGGGGAGAGGGGATGGTTTCATCAGGGGAGATTCTCTGCAGATGCTAATTTTCCTTCTCAAAGACAGCTTTGCCAGGCCACTTTCTTTTGCGACCGAGCGACAGCCATTTCAAAATCTGTCAAAGAAATATATTTTAGCTTAAAATATTTTAATTTCCTTCACCTCCACTGAACTCCGAGTCTGGAATTCCCTGTGCAGGACAAAGGAGCAGGGACAGTTCATTGAGTGAGGAAGACAACGGTGCCCCCTCTAGCCATTCGGAGCAAGTTTGGCTGAAATGCAAATACCCAAACAGCAAGACGCAATTGCTCGCTTAGATAACCCGTGCTTAGAACAGGTCAGGTGGGTTCTGCAGGGCCGCGTTACGCAGGGCTTCCGCTGTCAATCAGGACCGAGGGGACGGGGACTGGAGGCTCATCCAATCAGGGGCGCTGGCGCGGGGTCCTGCAAGCTGTCCATCCGGGGAAGGGGAGGCCGCATTCCCGCTCTCCTGACTCCCAGGCGTCTTGCACCGAGGGGAGGTCGGGATCTCGGCTTTCCGGCCCCGAGAGGGACCAGGTGCCTCCGCCATAGCTTCTGTCGCTCGGTCGCCTGCGAAGTGACTGGACTGTTCGAGGGATCCGTGGAGAGGAGGCCAGGACACCTGGAAGCTGTGAAATGGTGAGTGTGCGGGACCGGGGGTCCCGAGACGGGGGAGGGGCTGTGTGTAACCGGCCGGAACCGGCTCTGGCGGGATCCGGGCCTCCCCGCGGCGACATCAGGTCTGCAGACCCGAGTGCTACTGGCGCAGCTCGGCCCTCGGTCCCTTCGGCTGTAAGGTAGAGTTGTTGGGCCGGCAGCTGGGACCCCGGGCGCCCAGTCTGCCCCTGCGCTGCGACCGCGACCCCGGCCCGGGCCCGGGAGCCCTCTCGGTGTAGCTCTGCGTCTCCGCAGATTGTGCTGGTATCACGGGAGGGTCATGGGGGGAATCCCGTCTCGGGTGTGGGGTTCGTGTGGGAGGAGCAGTGGGCTGTGGGGTCACCAGTCCCGCCTTTTTTCCTTAAAAACTAAACTGAAGGCCAGGCGTAGTGGCTGACGGCGGGGAGGCTGAGGCGGGGTGATTGCTTCAGCTCAGAAATTCGAAACCTGCCTGCGCAACATGGCGAGACCCCCGTTTCTATAAAAAATAAATTAAAGGTGCGGTGATGCCGCCCACTTGTAAGTCTCAGCTACTCAGTCCCAGGGGACTGAGGTGGGAGGGTCGCTTGAGGGTGGAGGTTGAGACCGCTGTGAGCCGAGGTCGCACCACTGCACTCCAGCCTGGGCGACAGAGGGAGACACCTCGTCTCAAACAAAACAAAACAGAAAGAACAACAACAACAACAACAAAAAACCCTAAACTGAGGCATCTTAAAAATTAAAGAGTTTTCCTTCTCAGAATAGGAGTTTGAAAAAAAATAGAGTTCACTTGAGCAAACAGCGATTCCTGAATGAGAAACACCCAGTCATGGCTTGTGGTTTAATAATGGAAAAACCAAAGCTATCTGCAAAATAACTTGATCTATATTCTACACCGAATATGAGAGAACATAACCAAGGGAAACAACCCTCTGAAGCCTCCAGGAAGTGGTCCCCAGGAGGTTCAATGGCAGTTTGGTTTTATTCATTTCAGCGAGACAGGAATTGCAGGGAAAATCATAAATCAATGCGTGGAAGGAGGGAAAGGCAGGACACATAGAAGCGGGGCTTAGAAGGCACAGGTGGTTCAGGGATTCTGTAGCTGGCAGTTGGTTGAGAGTGTGAAGTTGTGTCCAAAATTTGAAAGGGGCAGGAAGGAATGCATAAGCGAAGGGGGTCTGTTACTTGCCATGTGATTCCATCCCTGTCAAAAAACCGATCTGTTTCACTAGATTTTATGAATTCTAAGGCGTGACTTAATCCTTCCCTTGCATGGCCTTAGGTCTTGTTTGCTATTTAGTATTTTATTGGCACAAAGGGTCTCTTTGCAGGTCTTTTTTTGAGATGTAGTCTTGCTCTGTAGCCCAAGCTGGAGTGCACACGATCTTGGCTCACTGCAAACTCCGTCTCCCGGATTCAAGCAATTCTCCTGCTTCAGCCTCCCAAATAGCTAGGATTACAGGCGCCCACCACCACGCCCGGCTAATTGTTTTGTATTTTTAGTAGAGGCAAGGTTTCACCATGTTGGCCAGGATGGTCTCGAACTCCTGACCTCAAATGATCCACCCGCCTCAACCTCCAAAAGTGCTAGGATTACAGGAGTGAGCCACCACGCTCAGTCTCTTTGCAGTTATGTCTATTTTAACATGAATGTGGGTCAGTTGCTCCATCTAAACTCCAGAAGGGAGAGTATGGAGTGTCTGATCTCCCTTACTGACATAACTGGGAACTTTCAGGTTTTCGGGGGCCTCCCATTGGTAAAGAGCCAGCCAGTTGACTTGATTGAGGTGGGGTGGGGAGCATAGGTTTTTATTTTTAGTTTACAGGTTGAAGGATAGGCTTTCATATGGTACAGTAGAATAAAAATCAAAAAAATACTATATTGGCTACAGTGATGTAGTCGCCTTATTTGGACTTTTCAACCTTAAATAATTGAAACGATCGGATTCCCATTATAAGGAGATTATTTGAGCAAAAATCTGAGAATTGCCATTCAGGAAAATACAGATTCTAGGGAAATGGGCTTAGAACTCTAGAGTTAAAAGTTAAACTCTTGGCCGGGCACGGTGGCTCACGCCTGTCATCCCAGCACTTTGGGAGGCCAAGGCAGGTGGATCACAAGGTCAAGAGATCGAGACCATCCTGGCCAACATGGTGAAACCCTGTCTCTACTAAAAATATAAAAATTAGCTGGGCATGGTTGGGTGGCTGGGTATGGTGGCTCACACCTGTAATCCCAGCAGTTTGGGAGGCCAATGCCAGTGGATCACCTGAGGTCAGGAGTTTTCGACCAGCCTGACCAACATGTAGAAATCCCCTCTCTACTAAAAATACAAATAATTAGTTGGGGCTGGGCGTGGTGGCTCACGCCTGTAATCCCAACACCTTGGGAGGCCAAGGCAGGCGGATCATGAGGTCAAGAGATCGAGACCATCCTGGCCATGGTGAAACCCTGTCTTTAAAAAAAAAAAAAATTAGTTGGGTGTGTTAGTGCATGCCTATAATCCCAGCTACTCAGAAGGCTGAGGCAGGAGAATCTTTTGAACCTGGGAGGCGGGGTTGCAGAGAGCTGAAATTGCGCCATTGCACTCCAGCCTGGGCAGTGAGAGAGAAACACCATCTCAAAAAAAAAAAAAAAGTTTAACTCTTGACTGAGTGGGGTGTCCCACACCTGTAATCCTACCTTTGTGAGGCTGAGGCAGGAGGATTGCTTGAGACCAGAAGTTGGAGACTAGCCTTGGTAATACAACAAACCCATCTCTAGAAAAGAAAAATAGAAAAATTAGACAGGCGTGGTGGCACTCACCTGTAGTTCCAGCCACAAAGCAGTCTGAGGCAGGAGGATCACTGGAGTCCAGGAGTTTGATGCTGCAGTGAGCCAGTATCAAATTTGACATTCCAGCTTAAGACAGTGTGATGGCCGTGAAGTCTTTGTGTGAGAAAGGTAAGAGAGAGAAGTTAATCTATAATAAAGATCAAGAGAAAAGGGGCAGCCAGGCATGGTGGCTCATGCCTGTAATCCAAGCACTTTGGAGGTCAAGGTGGGCGGATCACCTGAGGTCGGGAGTTCAAGACCAGCCTGACCAACATGGTGAAACCCAGTCTTAGAAAAAAAAAAAAAAAAAAGAAGAGAAAAGGGGCCCTTCCTGGCTCTGTTCAGGGATTTGCAATATTTTACAAAAGAATATAGGTACAAAAGCAAGTTAATCTGTGTTCAGGAACAGGAAGGTTCCAGCTGGCTATGTTACTACTGCCAGTCTGATGATTCAACCCCAGAATCACACTGCTTTAAACCTCAAGATAGGTTTCACATTTTCACCAACATTTGGTGATGTCAGTGTTTTTTGGATTTTAACCACTCCACCAAGCAACAATTCAGTGGTGCGTCGTTGTTTTCATTTGCTCTTCTCTAATGGCATGCTATTTTTGATTGGTTGGTTGTTTTCTTATTGAGTTTTGGGAGTTCTTTCTATCTTTTGGGTGTCAGTCCTCCATTAGACAGGTATCTTGCAAATATTTTGTCCCAGTCTACAGCCTGTCTTTTCTTTCTTTTGAGATGGGGTCTCCTACTGTCACCCAGGCTGGAGTACAATGGCACAAGCTCAGCTCACTGCAACCTCCGCCTCTCGGGTTCAAGTGATTCTCCTGCCTCAGCCTCCCAGTTAGCTGGGATTACAGGCACCCACCATCATGCCTAGCTAATTTTTTGTATTTTTAATAGAGACGGGGTTTCACTATGTTGGTCAGGCTGGTCTCCACCTCTTGACCTCAGGTGATCCACCTGCCTCAGCCTCCTGAAGCGCTGGGATTACAGGTGTGAGCCACCGAGCCCAACTCTCTTTCATTATGTTAAGTGTATTTGCCAAAACAGAAAGTTTTTTCATTGTTTGAAACAGGATCTCATTTTGTCACCCAGGCTGTAGTGCAGTGGTGCAATCTTGGTTCAGTGCAGCCTCAACCTCACCGTGCATGTATATTTACTATAAATCTGGAAGGCTTTTATTTTCTGACCTGGTTGGCCTAGTAGCATCTCCCTTCTCAAGCTGAGTAGAAGGCATGAGAGCAGACATCCTTGTCTGTGTCTTATCTTTGGGAGAAAGCAGTTAGTCCTTCACCATCACAAATGAGGGTTGTTTTGCATTTTTTATATATACCTTATAGTAGGTTGAGAAAGTTCCTTTGTATTGAGTGGATTTTTTTTTTTTTTTTTTTTTGAGACGGAGTTTCACTCTTGTTACTCAGGCTGGAGTGCAATACTGCGACCTCAGCTCACTGCAACTTCCACCTCCTGGGTTGAAGTCATTCTTCTGCCTCAGCTTCCCGAGTAGCTGGGATTACAGGCACGTGCCACCACACCCAGCTAATTTTTGTATTTTTAGTAGAGACGGGGTTTCCCCGTGTTGGCCAGGCTGGTCTCAAACTCCTGACCTCAGGCGATTCATCCGCCTGGGCTTCCCAAAGTGCTGGGATTACAGGTGTAAGGCACTGTACCTGGCCAAGTGTTTGATCATGAAGGGATGTCAAGGTTTGTCATGTGCTTTTTCTGCATCTTTTAGAATGTTCTTGTGTTGTTTGCTGTTGATCCTATACTATTAAGGTGTATTGCATGAATGGATTTTCAGAGTTAAAAGCAGTATTGCTTTCCTGAATTGAATGCCACTTCATCATGGGTTATGATATAGTTATATATTGCAGCATTCTCTTTTCCAATATTTTGGTAAGGTATTTTCTGTTGAAATTTAAAGAAGAGGGCCGGGCGCGGTGGCTCACGCCTGTAATCCCAGCACTTTGGGAGGCCGAGGCGGGTGGATCATGAGGTCAAGAGATCGAGACCATCCTGGTCAACATGGTGAAACCCCGTCTCTACTAAAAAATAACAAAAAATTAGCTGGGTATGGTGGCACGTACCTGTAATCCCAGCTACTCAGGAGGCTGAGGCAGGAGAATTGCCTGAACCCAGGAGGCGGAGGTTGCGGTGAGCCGAGATCACGCCATTGCACTCTAGCCTGGGTAACAAGAAAGAAACTGTCTCAAAAAAAAAAAGGGAGAGATATTCATGTACAGTATCATAATATAGTCAAGCATTGTCTAGTACCAGATACAGTGCGTGTGTGTACACATACACACACACATGTACATATTCTGCATTTATATATAGTACATTGTTTGGTTATGGTAGGTAATTGGTAAATATTACATGTAACTTGTATATGATATATAATTGCCATATATAAATGGTATTAGACTATATAGCATTATACTGTTATAGTGTAAATTTGTACATTTTTATCCTTTACAGCCTAGTGAGTTTCATTTTCATATCAGCCTGCAGCATAAATCGAATACTGGGAATATCATCCTCCTCTGGGAGCAAAGGAGAATCTCACCCTCTTGTTGCTACAGAATGTGCCACCCAAAAATATTCATGATCTAAGGGTGCGGTGGCTCATGCCTATAACTCCAGCACTTTGGGAGGCCGAGGCTGGCAGATCACAAGGTCAGGAGTTTGAAACTAGCCTGACCAACTTGGTGAAACATTGTCTCTACTAAAAATACAAAAATTAACTAGGTGTGGTGGCACATGCCTATAATCCCAGCTACTCAGGAGTGTGAGGCAGGAGAATCGCTTGAACCCAGGAGGCAGAGGTTGTGGTGAGCCAAGATCACGCCATTGTACTCCAGTCTGGGCAACAGAGTGAAACTCCATCTCAAAAAAACAAAAAAGAGAGAGAGAAAGAGACACACAAAAGTGGGTTGCTAAAATATATGATAATTTTATTATTTTTTTCAGGCACCATCATACTATTCCATAGGGGCTAAACCATTTACAATCCTTTGGACAGAGCACATGGGGTTCCTTTTCTCTCTTGATGGAGTTCTCTCACACCACTTCACACAAAAGTTTTTGTATTTGATAAATATTTACCTTTTTGTTGAGACTGGACACCCTGGAGTTTTTGCCTCTCAATCTTGTTGCCATTCAACTTTGAGCAATTAATCAATTATAATCCAGGCTTTTCTATCCAAGCAGTTTCCAAGAAAGGTTTCTGCTCTTGATTTTTTGTTTTAGTTAGTTATGACTCTTATCAGTCAGATTAGTAGGGCCTCAGCCCGGCACGGTGACTCATGCCTATAATTCCAGTACTTTGGGAGGCCAAGGCAGGCAAATCACTTGTGGTCAGGAGTTTGAGACCAGCCTGGCCAACACGGTGAAACCCTGTCTCTATTCAAAATACAAAAATTAGCTGGGTAGCCGGGCGCGGTGGCTCAAGCCTGTAATCCCAGCACTTTGGGAGGCTGAGGCGGGTGGATCACGAGGTCAAGAGATCGAGACCATCCTGGTCAACATGGTGAAACCCCGTCTCTACTAAAAATACAGAAAATTAGCTGGGCATGGTGGCGCGTGCCTGTAATCCCAGCTACTCAAGAGGCTG